TGACCTAGGCCTAGGTAACAGTGCGCTATCAATTTYGTTCTTTTCTTCAGATCCTTAACATAACGAAGCAATATACTGGAATATCCAACGAAACAGAGGCTGTTAATGCGTTCAAGAAAGAACTCAATTCAAGTAGAATGTGGCATAATCATGGTCCGTTTCCCASCAATGAATCAAATGAAAATGCATTCAARAAATGCATCAGTCCAGRGACAGCCAAGAAATATTGCCCTGTYCGCTGGGCAGCCATACAGAGATGGGCGGCGTATTGTAGAGAGGTAATTCAACTATCGATTGCCAAACCTAAGCACAATCCATCCACTAACCTACCAATTCATTTGACTATTAATAGTTTTTTTAGATACATAGACTGAAAGGCACTAATTGCGCGGATTTGAAATCCCGTCCAGTCCTCATTGTCGGACTTAAAACATTACGTAAAGCTACGGAGCTTTAACGTTTCGTCGTGACTCAGCCACATGTTATAATAGTAAAAAATGACCATTACACTTACAGTATTGATTCCGCTTACCAGATTATGGGCCTGTTATATCCAAAGATCACCAACCTCTTCTACTTCACCGGTTCTAAGGTCACTGCACCAAACTGTCCAATCAAAATGACTCCTCACTACAACCCATCTAATGGAGCCCAGTTCTTTAGAAAGAGTGACGCATCATGCTCTAAATCTACTGAGTTTGGACTGCCATTCTTTCTCAAAGACTATGGCCCAGTCTTCCAGGAATGGTCTGTGACRGCGCATGAAGCACGTCCTGGGCACCATACACAAGTCCAAGGTGATTATGCACTTGTTGCTTATCAAGGCGTGCTTTCCATGTTTAATCCGGCGAAAAGCAATTCTGCGTTAAAAATGTAAATGCTTACAATTATGTCGAACTTGTAAACCTCGTCAGTTTATTGAATGTTTAGACACTACATTTCTTACTCTCAAAAAAGCGGGAAATCAGTGAATATGGTACGCGCGCGCGTTAGAGGGAAGAAAAGGGCGGGAAWAGTGAATCGTCTCCAGATATTCTCATAGCATTCAATATTTCATATAGTAAACGATCCCTATGACTTCAGACATAACCAGTTCATGTTTCTCCAAACGACTGTACTTTTTTCTATTCTTCACATTTTGAACAATTTAGTGACGTAGCAGTTCGTTGTTAACCATTCCAAATTGCCTGGGTGATTTGGAACAAAAACCTATGGTTAATTAAGTCCTGAATTGAATACACAACTTACTAGTATTACTTGACCTTTGTGTATAAGTTCAACTTAGAAAATACAAATTGACAAACTTCAACAAAATATAAAGAAGAAAAATGCAAAGAAATATAACGTGGCAAACTTCAACATTTGATTAACAGAATGGGTCTTTGTTAGGTCATGTTGAACATTTCCAGGATAACTGTGGTGGCGTTATAAAATGGCTAGATGGCCTTACTTACTACACTGCCTTTACCGAGGGCTGGGGATTGTACAGCGAGAATCCAGTACTATCTCACGATACAGATACGTACAAAGATAACCTATTACAAAAGTATGGTATGCTTAAATGGCAGGTAAGCTGAGACTAATTTTCAGAGAACCGACAAATCTCACACTTGTTTACCGCTAGTTCCAATAATTTGTTTTTAGAAATGAATAACATTTCAAGTTGTTTTTTTACATGTTTTGTACAATATGAAAACGTAGTGTGATTTCTGGTCATTTCAGGTGACCGACAAGTGTTTTTAACCAACGCCTTCCTTTATCTGAATAGTTCAACATGGATTAAATCAAAGTCTCTTTTAGTAGCAACTAACATTTTGATTATGTAGGTTTGGCGAGCTGTCCGTCTGATTGTTGACACTGGTCTTCATGCAAGAGCAATGACAAGGTATTTAAGCAACATGAGCAACAACAACATAAACAACAAGCCACAGCAACAAAAATTTATATAACAAAATAACCMAGTATGCAGATATCTCAAACCTWTATTTCTCCWAYAATTTCAGGACAGAAGCACTCAAGATGTTTGAAGACTATGCATGGGATACATCAGATTTTGCTGTCAAAGAAGTCACTCGGTACCAGAGTGATCCTGGACAAGCCACAGCATACATGATAGGCAGACTGGAGATTATTAAAATGAGAGAGAAGGCTGAGAAGATACTGGGTTCTMAATTCAATCTAAAAGACTTTCACTATCAGGTCTTAAAGCAAGGTTCTGCTCCTCTACCATTCTTAAAAAGTCATATTGATCGTTATATTAAATGTGTTAATGGCRAYCTTGGTAAAGAGACATGCCAGTATATACTTGACACTAATAAAAAAAGCTCTGTRGCAGCGAAGTCAAAAAATATTGAAGATGAGGAAAGAGCCCCAGAGCCACCACACTACAGCTACATTTAGAATTAAGATCAATTTAMTTCTAATCTAAGCTTTTCAATCATTGAATATTTTTTTGTGAATTGACTTCATACATTGTTAGTAATGATTAATATAAATACAAAATACACTATAATAAAATAGAATGAAAACACTGATAGCAATATTTATTCATATTGCGCAGTTTGTGTTTTTTTGTCTCCACCATATACCAAGCTSTTAAAACATTGTGTTACCACTTAATTTGCTCTGTTACTTGGCTTGTTCCCAGGTCTCTGGGGGTGTRTGTGGGGAGAGAGTTTGGTTAACACCATATTCACTCAATTTAAAGTGTGAATAAAAAACAGTGAACACCAAGACATTCTTGAGGTATTGTCATTTTAGCAATTCACTGATTCAGGTTTAGGCAAATTTTCAGCCTGAGCCCTACACTGGGAGCTGAATAGGTTGGACCCAGGCTCTGGCTGAAAAGCTGGTGAATATTAACTGCACTTCTATGAATAAACAATGTGTAGTATATCCCAATGGGAAACAGATCTGACCAACCAATGTGAAACCATAAGATTTTTAGTATCTATTGAGGTTTGGCTTTATAAATTGGTARATTGCATCAATTCTACTAATAAGCTGAGAGGTTAAATTTTCAAGCAATCAGTGTATCTATCGTGCTACTAAATAATGCTTTTTTTATTGTTTTAACAACTTATTTTGTTATTTTTTTTAACAACTGAACTGTTTGAGAATTATTTTTAGCTTGTCCAACAACAATGAGAACACAGTAAAGATCAGTGTAAGAAAATTTGCTAAAAATGTCAAATAGAAATCCTGAAAAATACCTCTAAAGACTATCATACTAGCAGATGTACAACTAACTGCAGATAAAATCAGGAATAATGGAAAGAACGGTGTGAAAGGAAGAAAGAAACGCGTATTGAGGGCAACAGAGCTAAACAAACTTTACTCTAGATGTTTTACACAGAAAAAAAACAAATGGCTAAARTGAAGATTATGACAGGGATAAGTAAGCTTAAATGTCTTTTAGGTGTTGTGCAAAATGCAGAAGTAGGAATATAAGTTAAAATCTTACCGTATCTATCTGTCTCCAAGTTCCTGCTTCTGAGAGCGATCCAGAGTGAGAGCGATCTGTCATTTGAAGAAACAAAAATTTTTGTGGACGAGGAAAAGCATAAAWTTTTTTGAGTCGGACCAGCTTTCMTTTTAAATTCGTTTTCTAGYTTTTCGATCTTTTGTTTTGAGTTTTTACGAAGTCATTTTAGAGATAGTCCTTTGAAGAAGATATTTCGCTCGCTATTTTGAATTGTTTGAGCTATAAAACGATAATGTCTAAAACGAGTGAAAAAAAAGCGGGAAACAAGACGCGCGCGTACGTCAGAACAAAAAGGGCGGGAGTTCAAAATACCGACGCTGGTAACGCACTGCGCACACTCGGAAGACGCACGGTAAGCACCTAGGGTCTGAATCTGAATATGACTCATTCAATAAAAAGTTAACAAAAATCCGTAAGTTTAAACTTAGTTTGATTCATGCAACAGTAAACAACGGTTTTTCTWACAGTACACTGAAAAGTATTCGTGCATGATTACCAAAGTTTAGTCTGAAAAAGTCTTAAAGTCTATAATATTCTTCCAGTAAAACATTTACACGAAGTCCCAGGAGGAGACTACGACTTCTGTTCTTCTGAAAACAAGTGTTCTTATACTATTTTTCTCCTGTGAATGGGATACTGAATAAGGATTCCGACGATAATTATATAGCCACATATTAATCCCAAATAGGTAAAAGCTGGATTTTTCGTTAATTTTGGAATCCTGTCCAATATAAAAATATAATAACACATTAAATAATACTCTTTTACAGACATTTAGGGGCGATCCATTAGCATGCATTAGCATTTTGAGGGGGTGATGGAAGATTTTGAAAAAAAAATTGGGTCCGAAAAAAAATTCCTGCAAGGTAAAATTTTGAAAAATCTCCACTAAAGCTTTTGTAAATTTACAAAAAATATTGCAAGCGCGCGCCTGAAGTAGAAAAAAAATTCCTGCACCAACTATATCTTCCATCCCTCCCCCCTAAAAAGTATCGCCCCTTAGATCTCCTATAGACAACTTCCACTTTTGTCGACTGTAGCCCGTTGATCGCAAAATGCAAATTTGCACACATAATTACGTTCATGTTCCAACTCAGCAATGAAAAGTATGCTTAATTATTAACAAAAAAAACTTTAAAAAAATCGACATTTGTCTCGACTAATGTATTTCTACAATATACACAAGGTAAATAAATGAATCAAAGGAAATGTATGTTCAATGTTAGTCTACATTTAATATTCATATTGTTTAATGTTGACGTCATGGTTTATTGAGTCAGCCAATTGGAAAGCAGTACTTTTACAYWGCAAGATGATACATACTTCCTTGTTCGGAACGAAAGGTCTGTTGCTGTTGAGTTTGAGATTTCAATAAGCCACTCTTCAAATTTCAGCTCAACTAAGAAATCCTCATTTTTCGGGTATCAATCATTTAATGCAATTGGACCGCGACGCTGATTCTGACTGAACGATAAGGTAAGAAATGACATCGATTCTTCGTTTCCAATCACTTGATAATTCAGACAAAATGACCTTGTCTCGAATTCCAAAAGCTTAATTCATAATCGTACTGAAATATAACATTCATAACCTTTTAGAGCATTCAAAACTACATATATTTGAGAGGTTTAGAGTTCTTTGAGCTCGTAGTTACTGAATTATTTGCGATTCAATATGGGTGATATTTGTCAAACAATGTAGGTCATGTAGGATGCGGATGATACCCCATGAAGTGTCTCGAAAATGTATTTCTACAACATACATACACAGGAAAGATAAATGACTCTGAAGAGATTCGTCAAAAAAAAAAGGAAAAATTATGTTTAAAAATGTTTCGTGTTTCATATTGTTGCAATGGAAAAKCAGTATTCAGACAGCAAGATACGCAGTTTGGTTCGGAACGAAACATCTACACCCAGTCTGTCCAGTCTGTTGTTATTGAGTTCGATGAGTTTGAGGTTTCAAAGTAAGCCGTTCTTCTAATTTCAGCTCAACAAACAAATCTTTACTCGAGGGCACCATTTAGTAATCTGTCTGGAAGTCTATTCTACAAGTCGCTGATACTGACTGAACGGTAAGGAATAACACATCGCTAATACTGAATTTCACTGAATATCGCATTTCTCTTATAAGATGACAAAAATTGTATTATGTAGCAGCTTATATGTAGCTTAATCAAACCTATCACGATATCTGTCGAGATTTGTATAGGAAATACCACCGTTCTCGAAGAACTAGTGAAAAATACCGCGCGTATTTGAGGAGTGGTCATCATCATCATCGGATCGACCGCGGTCGGATTTCAAGGGCACAATCTTTCTGTTCCAATACTTTCATTAGATACAAGCGGTATTTTTCATTATTTCTTCCAGAACAAAGGTGCTATTTCATTTTAATATCATAACTACATAAAATATTCGATTCTATCGAGTTCAAAATACGCTAAGTGGTTACACTAACAAAACATGCACGTTTACTAGTCGAAAAAAGATATGCCCGAGAAGGAACGACATTAATACTAGGAGCGTCCATGATGTGCATTAGGTTTGGTCACAGCGTTTTCACAGACGTGGCTATTTATAGATATCTTCGAAAAAAAGTTTGAAAATTACAAATGGCAGCTCTTAGGCTACAAATTACAAAAATCAGTGCAAAAAAAGCTGGTAATTGAAAATAGTTATCATGCAGTAATATGTACAACTTCATGCCCAAGAAACGATAAATAAGCAACTGTTTATTCACCAAACTGTAGGGAAATTTGAAATAACGGCGCTATTTCTCAACTTGGATTATCACTAATAGACCGAGGCTAGGGAGCCGATTAGAATGCTGGATTCGTGATAGTCCACAGTTTGGCGGATACAAATGTCTAACAGTCATTACAGTAAAATTGCTATCAAAAGAAAACAATGAGTCTAAGGGTAAATATATGTTTTAATTTAGCTACTATTTCACAGTCTTGTGGAAATCACTCTTATTAATCACTCACATTTAATTGTTGAGTAGATAAAGCGGGGCTGGTCCGCATGCAATCATGGAACACTTAAATTCATTGATCTATTCTTCGCATTGAGATGTTGTGTAATCGGTACATTAGTACATCATACACATGTGGATTTGACTCATGGCCAGAGCGCATACTGCGAGGGCCATGTTTGTCCCCATATTATGCTAGTATTTCGGTATTATCATCATGTTTTCTTTTTTTCTTAACATTAGCCTAAAAATGCTTGAAAATAAATTGTTTGTTGTTGTTGTTGTTTTTCTTTCGCAAATCGATTTCCCGGATGTGCAAACGCGTCGTATGAAAAAACTTGCTAGAATATTTCTTTGCTTTGATTTTGCTGGTTGATTTTTTGCTTGTATTACAGTCGAAAGACATGAAGCGCGCACCGAATAGTTCGTTATTCAATGCATTATTGGATTTTTCATTTTATTTTTCGTTTTCAAACTTTATAAAAATAAAATTCAAATCTCGAACTCTGATAATGACAGAAAAACACACAGTATTTCCAGCGTTTTGAGACCCTCATTCCTTTCTCACGAGAAGGAATAGATCCACCCAAATTAACTGACAGCATATTGCAATGCATCGACTTGTAAAAATTAAATAAGACCAGCATGTTTACAAGCGAAATACGAAGAAGGCTTTATGAAAATCCGATCAATAATCCAATCAAATTTCAAAGTTTGAATTCAAATTTGATTTCAATAATGCAAAGTTGAATCGACCAAGAATCAAATAATGAATTGAATAATGGTGTTTTGAGGGGGCGCGTTTTATTTTTTTTGACTGTAATTTTTCCAATATTATCAATTTGCAAGAAAAATGTTTTTTTCGATCTTTCAACAAATATTTTTAGCGCTTTTTTTTCTTTTCGCGCGTAATATGGGTTTCCTGTGGTGTTTAACGGATGGAATGAATGAATGAATGAATTCTGGAGCATTTGATCACGTGATAATCAGTGTTTGCCAGAGTGTCCGACATTTTGAAAATAGCTACAGAGAGGGCACTGGGAATTGGTGAACAAATGCAAGTAAGAACTATACAATTTTAACGGTTTATTTGTTTCTCTAGAAAGCCAAAACCCACATACTCTACGGCTATGGATTTGAATATTGCAAAACTTTTCATCAGGTTTTGTGTGTCGTATGCAGCTCACCATTCTATTCTTAATCACACAAAACCAAAAAGAGAAGAACTGATCTCCTTGCTAGAGGAATGTTTGGTGATGGCTCTTTTATTACATGATACCAAATTGCTTGTTCTCATTTATGTTCCGCTTGGTAATTTATGTCATCTCGTCCATCAAGCAGCTAAGGCAATTTATTATTTCCAGAATCTTCTAAGCCTTATCACTGGTGAAGGCAATCATGGTCTAGAGATTTATGCTAACCACCATTTAGGAAATATCTATGATTCATTAGGAGAATATCACAAGGGGATTGAATATTATGAAAAGACCCTAGACGTTGCTAAAGAGATTGGCGACAGACGGGGAGAAGGAGCTGCTTATGGAAATGTAGGGGCTGCCTATGATTCATTAGGAGAATATCACAAGGCGATTGAATATTATGAAAAGGGTCTGAGCATATATAAAGAGATTGGCGACAGACAGGCAGAAGAAGATACTTATAGAAATTTAGGGACTATCTATTATTTATTAGAAGAATATCACAAGGCGATAGAATATCATGAAAAGAGACTGAGCATAGCTAAAGAGATTGGCGACAGACAGGGAGAAGGAGATGCTTATGAAAACTTAGGAATTGTCTATCTATCATTAGGAGAATATCACAAGGCGGTTGAATTTCACGAAAAGAGACTTAGCATAGCTAAAGAGATTGGCGACAGACAAGGAGAAGGAGCTTCGTATGAACATTTAGGGTTAGCCTATCACTCATTAGGAGAATATCACAAGGCGATTGAATATTATGAAAAGAGACTGAGCATAGCTAARGAGGTTGGCAACACACAGRGAGAAGGAGCTGCTTATGGAAATTTAGGKGCTGCCTATGATTCATTAGGACAATATCACAAGACGATTGAATATCACGAAAAGAGACTGGGCATAGCTAAAGAGATTGGCGACAGACAGGGAGAAGAAGATGCTTATGGAAACTTAGGGAATGCCTATCTATCATTAGGAAAATATCACAAGGCGGTTGAATTTCAMGAAAAGAGACTGAGCATAGCTAAARAGATTGGTGACAGACAAGGAGAAGGATATGCTTATGGAAACTTGGGGAATGCCTGTCGATTATTAGGAGAATATAACAAGGCGATTGAATGTCATGAAAAGAGTCTGAGCATAGCTAAAGAGGTTGGCAACAGACAGGGAGAAGAAGTTACTTATGGTAATTTAGGAAATACCTATAATTCATTAGGAGAATATCACAAGGCGATTGAATGTCATGAAAAGAGTTTGAGCATATCTAAAGAGATTGGCGGCAGACAGGAAGAAGGTGCTACTTATGGAAATTTAGGGAATGCCTATTTTTCATTAGGAGAATATGGGAAGGCCATTGAATTTTGCGAAAAGAGTCTGAGCATAGCTAAAGAGATTGGTGACAGACAAGGAGAAGGAGATGCTTATGGAAACTTAGGAAATGTCTATTATTCATTAGGAGAATATCRCAAAGCGATTGAATATCACAAAAGGTTACTGAGCATATCTAATGAGGTTGGCGCCAGACAGAAAGAGGGAGCTGCTTATGGAAATTTAGGGAATGTCTATTATTCATTAGGAGAATATCACAAGGCGATTGAGCA